GACGTCACACTACGGAACCTGTGACCGGTGCTCTGTGCGTATATGTTAAAATATCCTGACAAACGTTTTCGAGCGTTCCAATCGCTCTTCTTCAGGTCAACTGAAGGAATTCCCCGGACGGAGTGTATATTATTCTCTAGGATCGGGTGTCGGTTTCGAGGGGGTGGGTCTCTTCCGGTGTGTGCGGTCGTGCGGCGGGGGGAGGAAGCGGTGGGTTGGCGTCCAATAGCGATTGCCAGGCCAGAGACAAGGTTAGTTCCTCTTTCCGGTTAATGCAGGTAGTTAGCCGGTCGGCGTTGTGGATAGCCGTGGCTTCTAGCCATCTAAGCTGCTGTTGGTGGGGCGTGTTGACAATAATGGTAGCCTTCTCGAAGTGCACCTCGACTTTGGGGTTGGATGCATAAGTCATAAGTCAGATGCAGTCATAAGTCGGATGCATAAGTCAGGATATTTTAACATATACGCACAGAGCACCGGTCACAGGTTCCGTAGTGTGACGTCAATTAACAGTTTACTGCACTTCGCATTTTGTGCTTTTTGGATGGCAGAATATTTTCTGTTGGCCAACCGGTTTGTCCACATGAGAAAAGTTTCCATTTTGAACAACAGAAAATACTTTCATTTTTTTTTAACTCTGTCCTGTGAGCATCAAGAGTGTCTTTTTTTTTTTTATAGAAAACTCATTATAGTTTGGCTGGGGTAGTGAGGGACTGGGTCCAACATATCCAAATGAACCACCACCCTAAAGATTTTCTGGTGTTTTTCAACCTGTTCAGATTCAATCCTAGGTCCCCAGAGTAGTAGGATGCCATCTTAGCCACTTGGCCATCTGGCCATCAACAAAGTATTGAATGTGAGTGTTTTCTGGATTTCAATACATATGATGGAAACTTTTCTGTAATGAAGAGGTTTAGATCCTCTGTACAAATTTGGTGCATAACTTTTGTATGTTAATTGTAAATATGCATATTGTTACATTTGTGAATAACTAAGTTTTTTTGTTCATTTCAGGACGGTGTAATGGTTTTAAGTGCAACACACAGATACAGGAAAAAATACGTAACCACCCTCTTGTATAAGCCCATTTGAAGAGCTTGGCACAACATGCAAATCTTCAATCTTTGTATATTTTAAATTGCTATTAGAAGAATACAGAAGAAAATAAATTAATATGTAATCCGGAAAGACCGAGAGATAGAGAGGGAGAGATTGACGAGAGAGATCGAGATCTTTTTGGGAAGTTGTTCACGTTGTACACAATCCTTAACGCTACGTGTAAATCTTTAAGGGTCATTTGGGACTAAACATTGATGATTTGAAAAAAAAAGTTTTTCCCTTTCAACAGTTAGAATGAATCGTGCTCTTAATGGGATAATTAATTTTAACGTTTTACAATTAGGGGAGAAAGAAAATGAAAAAAAAAACTATTTTGTATAAGGATTCGGTACTGTATAGTTTATAGTTTATGAAATTTTAATTGCTGTCTGTGTTGTGTAAAGATAGAAAATTTGAATTATTTTCTCTCTCTCTTTTTGAATTTTATTACAAGAGGGCGTTCGAAAATTCTCGAACAAGTTTAAACTTGTCTGCCGAAGCGTTGCACTTGCTCCCGAACACCATGCGATTTACTTAACTTTTGTGCACGTCCTTTCGAACGCTCTCGTGTTAAACGTTTAATCGTTTCCCGTTCGAAATCACTCAAATTTAACATAATATTCAACATTTCGAACGGACGATGTACGGAATTCTAGCTAAACCTAGCGTAAAGTGCGTTTTTTAATGGTTTGTGTGTAAAATTTTAAGATGTTGCTCGATTTTGAATGATTCTGGAACGTTCGGGTTTTAAAAACAAAAAGGTGCTAAGCTTCCGAGTTTATGATATTCTGTTGTGTAAAATTGTAGTAAATATGGCGATACAAAAGTGATGTTTTACGCGATTGCGAACGTTACTGTGGAAATTAATGACCTGTTTTTTCATTGTTCGATCGGATCCATACGCAGTTTGATGTTATCGAATCGCAGTCGCTATCGCGAAACTTTCGTATCGCATTTAGATACTGATTTAACCAATCAACGCTTAAACCTCTTAGTGCTCTCGGAGCGAAAAGAAGTTTTATGGGTCCTTCAGGAAAAAAAATGGCGGCGTAGGCCTATCATGTAACAAACGAATTTGAATTTCAGAAGCGGTGATTGGTAAATCGACGCTTTCAAATTCAAATTTCGGAAGCGTTGATTTAACCAATAAACGCATCTGGAATTCATATAAAACGACGAGGGTCTTCAGTATAACGAATTAAACGATCGATTGGAATTTTTTTTTCTCTCTTACCCCTCTGTTGAAGAGCTGATTAAGGAAAGTCGCGAGGACATAAATTACGAAAGAGTACCTGATGTTAAAACATTTAGAATGTAAATAAGAATTTAAACGAATAGGAACTTTAAAAAGAAAAAACAAGATGGCATCCGGATAAAAGAGGACACTTCGCATCGACCAAGACCATTTACGTATAAGCAATAAGAGTTACGTAACAAAGAAAAGCTGTGTTACGTAGTTTGTTCTGGAAGATGCTAGTAACTACTATTACAGAATTCGAAAAATGATATACTTTTTCCCTTCGGAAAGAAAAATTATGCCGAGAAGTTAACTAATTTTTTTTTTCTTTTTGGAAATAAAATGTTCTTGTTTAAATTTTTCTTTTCCATTCTATTTTTATTCCGTTATCGCGAAATTTGTGTCAAAACGATAAAAATTGCTGACATTACGCGACAAGCGAGATAACGCGTTCGAAATTGGTGTTAAAAATGTTCGGTGCACTCTTACGTCAGTTTGATGTCATCTTACCGACTGTGGCGATGATGTATTGCGTTCATTATATGAACCAATCGAGCGGTTGCGTTCGTAAATTCTATGCCGTACTTAATGACATAATAAGAGCTAATTAATTGATGTCAGTAACGACGAAATCGGATTTATTTTTAAAATTCGATATTCTTAAATTAATAAGAAGGCATTGGTTTTGTAAAAGATGAAATTTACCGATTTCTACAGAACGAGGATGGCGTTCGGAAAGCGCTACAACGTGGGGTAATTGTGTTATAATGCTTTCAGCCATTTATCTGTGTAGAATAGTACATTTTGATATATAAATTGGAACAAAAAAGGTAACAGATATTATTCCAATTATCGGTTGACCTACTTAAAAAATATCTTGTAAACAAGCGAAGGATTCGTAGATAAATAAAATAAATAATAATAAAAAGATAAGACAACTCCGATTGGTGGCGGAAATCGGAACTATTAAAACCCGTTCGTTAGAGGACGATATTTTCGTTTTCGATAAAAACAACAATTCCATTAAATTAAACTCAATATTAATATTCCACACTTAAAACGAAATACGGGAATAAATATAAAATCAAAAGTAAATATCAATATTTCCTTTGTTTACGAAATAGAAAATGCTACTACGTCATTCCGTGTCGTCATTGCCATCGATAAACATGGCGTGCTTGTTGTTTACAATGAACTCCGTCGTCAAAATCGACAGATTCGAATAGGAGAGAACGAAAGTGGTTAGATTTGTCGTTAGAATATCGATGAAAGAAGATGCCGTGGTACTTTCCCTGGTCGGAGGGGGTAAAGAAGAGAGCGTGTCGATATCTATTGCAACGTTACATGGGAAAATATTTACAAGAGAAATTGTCTCTGGATCAGTTATCGGTCGATTTGTATTCGGGAAAGGGTAACATCAGAGATGTTTACCTGGACGTTGCCGTAAGTAATTGTTTAATGTCACTACGCGGCTCGAATCCTCCTCCTCCGTTGCTTTACCCGATCCATTTAAACCTCGTGAACTTTTTTCCTTTGTTTAGTATCCTTTTGTTCTAATGACGTTTCCAGTCCGTCGCCCGTCGCCTTCTTTACGTAATTTTCTTGTTTGGGTAATTGAAGCGGAGTTCACTTTGATGGCGATTTGATTCGAATTTTTTACTGTTTTTCTCCATCCGAAACTAGTCGAGAATTATTTATAGCCTATGACCTTGTACCTTTTTTCGAGGACGTTTAGTAATGATGGGGTTTAATGTAAACAATTGATTTTAGGTAGGAGAGGTAGAGAAAGACACTTGGTGATTCCTATTAAGGTGAATTGGTTAAGTTTTGCAGATTGAACTTCGTCTGTGATTCTGGGGTTTGTGGATGTCGGATGCTGTACCTCGACTTTACAAATTCTACTTGCTTCGGTTTATCTAGTGGGTAAAGTGTTTCGAGAAATGTTATATTCCTTTCACATATGAAAGGAATTTAACAATACCGACAGCCTCATTTTTTCTCTTTGGTTTCAAGTTGGAGAGCGAGAGATAGAGCAATCTGCAACACCTAAAGATTCTCATTAACCTTCAGGGCCCACCTGTGGCCAAGCAGTTTTATTCCCTTAACACTTGGAGTTAATCATGGGTTCGTGCCTTGCCGGGACGGGCTGGCCATGTGGAGTTTTCTGGGTTTTCTCTGTGTCTGTAACATCTGAATAGGCACCATTTACCTTTAAAAGACCTCTTGGAAGGCATCCCCAGGCAGATTGCCCAAGTGTTGCATTGCTGTAACTTAACTAAACAAACATTAAGCTTAAGAAGTGTAGCTTTGAGTGTTGCGTTGTGTTCCATAATAGTTGGGTTGGAGTTTACGGTAGGCAGATGTTCTGCTATAAAGCCTCGATTCCACTTGCAAGTTTCCAGTGGTGGCAATGAGTGATGGTGGCAAATGTTCAGCAACAAAAATATAGAAGTTTATTATATTGAAAAATTGTTGGCAATACAAGAGAGTCAATTGGAGGTGCTACTACATCAGCCAGTTATATGCACTGTCATACTGCTGAGCATTGAATAGATTCTATTGTTCTGATTTCTGATGTCAGGTATGTACTATACTATCACTTTATCAGCTACTGAAAGTGGTGAGTCTTAGCAGTAGTGGAAAATATTCAATTCGGTGAAATTTTCCTAATGTGTGGCAAGCTGCAAGAAAGTTGCCCGTGCAATTGTTTCTATAGTAATTACTATTGTCACTGGAAACATGCAAGTAGAATCGACTTCCTTACAAAGTTTACTTACTTGAGTTTAGCTGAGAGAGGAAGTGCCATGAGAAAAACTAAAATCCTATGTTGCTTTCAATTATGATTCAAAAAGTAAGATGACATAAAAGAATAACCTTGTAAATTACATGCTGATCTTTAGAATGGGGAATAGCTGGGATGTTAGTAGAAAAATACTGATTTTTGAATAAAAATGCTGACAGCATAAAAGACAAAAAAATAATTTATTAACACTGATATTGCATAATGCATAATGCTGTCAAGAGAATGGCAATAGTTTTATACTTTTTAAAAATCACAATTTAAAATGATCAGGTATTTTATGGGACTTGTCATAAATGGTATACTCATAAATCTAGGTGTGCATCTTGATATGTCATGAATTTTGTTATTGCCTGATGAGTTCCTCCTATTATGTCTGTGTGTACTATTTTGCTTTCTTAATTAATAATCTTTTGTTACACTGCAATTATTAAGAACAATATTTTCTGGTTATAATTTATTTCCTCTGTCTTATCATACTGAATATATTTTCCTTTTGCTATACACCAATGCATGGGAGGCCCTGCAATGCTGTATGGGAAAATCATCATCAGACTTACTATTTTACAAAAATTACAAATTTTTGTAAAATTCCACAAATCTCAAAGAATATCTTGTTTCTTTTCTTGAGAAAGTTCATACCATATGGCCTGTATATTCTTAAGTGATGAATCAGATGTTTCTTCTTTTTGGGCAGAGAAACTAGTGCTGCTCAATAATTTGGTCTAACTGTAAAAGTAAACTAAACTCATTTCCTTCTGTTGATGAATCGGTCATAACTGATTTATCTGCCATTTAAAGTTATCATATTTAAGCTCAAATTTTCACACATATATAAAAATATCAATCTTGATTCTTTCCCAATTGAACAAATCTGAGAATGTTCTGGTTCACTTTAGTCCTTTGTAACAAAATTCATACAATGTCTTCGGTATATATATTGATAGTAGACTTGTTAAATAAAGTGTTTATGTGATAATATCAAATTATGCAAAAAATGCTGAAAAATGGAAAATCAGCTTGTGCATTGATGAAGCATATAAAACACTACTAGTCAGCACCAAGCACTGATGGTTGGCAACTATAAAATTATGAGGGTTTGGATATGGCTTTAGTAAATTGAATGGTGTTCTGGAAATTCTAATGTAAGTTAAAGCTAGAGAGACAACTATTGGATGATGGATACAAACTGTCAACCCTCAGAAGTTTATATAATAGTTGTAATTTATATCAATCGNGTTAATTTAATTTGAATGTTTGAAATATGACACACTTTAGGGGCGCCTCTAGTGTCTGTTATCAAACGGTTACGGGACGGACAGACACCTGTTGAATGGGTTATATATATAGATATGGGAGGGATAGATCCAAACATGTTCAAACCAGATGATCCATGATAATCCCCAGATCTGTAGTCTAAACTAAAGGTGATAAAATTAAGATAACAATGAACATTAAGAACAGACTTAACAATAAGCCCTATCGATTTTCAACATCAAGCAAGATAATTGGTGGAATTAGTCATTGACACTGATTGGTGTCTTAATTTTGCCACTCGTGCATCACCATTAAGAATAGCATGTGCTTGTCTTAAGCCATCTTGTCTATTCTGCTCTTGAAGAATCCTGGTTTATGTCCAAATCCTTTGGAACACCAGATGTTTGCCTTAGCCATCTTTATACTATATATAAATTATTTACTGTTGCATTTGTATTAATTAGGATATCCAAAAGTTGAACAATTTCTATGAGGAAATTTTGCCACAAAAGTCAAACTTTTCTTACACTACATTCACACACAATCCACAACTCACTTTAATCTCGATTGCAACTGTTGCCAGTCGAATGTTGAGCTGTTTGCTATAGTCAGTCCGCTTGAAAAGAACCTGGCTATTGCATGTGATGATAAAACTTGCATAACTATGCAATAAGTCACGAACACCAACAAATAAACTAACGAACCAAACAAAGTGGAAGCTGGTAACGAAGTATTATAATTTACAGTGGTGTGAAAAAATATTGGAATAATGTGCATTTCTGCATTACATTGAATCTTGTCCTAATTTTTTGGAACCACTGTATATTTATTAATAGTTATATAGTTAAAGCTGCACTCCTACGAAATGGGTTATGACTTCATTAATGGCATTTTAAAAATTTAAGTGTCTCAAAGTTAGTTAATAGCCTAATGATTATGAAGTATAATGTCATAACGATAATTATATCTTTATTCTATTTACCGATATTCTGCAGTCAAATTCTTTATTTTT